AAATATATCTTAATTAATAAATCTTAATCTATATCTTTAAAATATAAATTAGATAAATTTTTTTATTTGAATTTTCTTAACATGTAAAGATATATTTATTATATTTTTTATTATTAATTTGTCTTAAAATTTATGAAAAATATATTTTATTTTTAATATCAATATTTTATAAAATAATTTAATTAAACAATTAATAAAATTTAAGTAATTTTTTTTTGTTTTTTATGTAAATTAATGATGTAAAAAATTCCTTCTTTTTTTTGAGCTTTTTACCATTTAATAGGTCCTCTTATCCTCGTTAGGTTAATATTAATGTGAAAAAGTAGAATCAAATGAAAAAGAATAACAATAACATATGGTGTGTGTTAGGTAAAATGCGTTGAATTGCTAATAAAGAGAGTTGATTTACATATTTTAAGGGATTCGTGAGCTTATTTATATCAAGCTTTATTTATATTTATTTTAATTTAAAAAGTTATATATTAATTTGAAATAAATCTCAGGACTTAAGAGGGAGTTTTGCCAAACTTAAAAGGAAATTAGTCATCGCATTTTATTAAGGCCAAACTCTTGTATATTATTATTTTTTACCACTAACATCCTTTAGAATTCTTATTCTAGTCAATATTTTTTATAATTTAAAATACCTAAAAACCTTAAAACTTAAAAATTAAATCTTCTATTTATATCCTGATTTTGTTGATAATTTAAAATTTTTTTATTAATTTTAAATTATAAAAAATATTGAATGATGGTAAAAATTTTAAGAAGTATTTAATTATAAAAAACAGTAATATTTAAGTTGCAAATAAAGATTCAGATTTTTATTAATCGAAAATGGACTGAAACAGAAAGCCCAATTCAATTTTGGGCCTCAAATTTTGAGAGAAAAATGGTCTGGGCCGAAGATAAACATATGCTTCATAATAACATTAATTATATAGAGTCCAGTCATTTTGAACCATCACTTTTGCTTCCTAAAATACAATCGTTGGGCCGTCGGGTGACATGGACGGTGGTGGCACGACATCTGGTGGCATGGATGGAGGAGGATCTACATCTGGTGGCCGAGGAGGAACCAGGTCAGGCTGCTGCTGTGGCGGTGGTGGGACTGGAATGACAGGGTCTTGAGGTGGCCGTGGTGGGACTGGAATGTCAGGATCATGGGGCGGATTCAATGGTGGGCTTGGGAAATCTGGGCCATGGGGAACTATTTCTGGTGCTGGAGGATCAGGAGGAAACTCAGGTGGAGTATCTCCTGCTGGGTCCATTTCTGGTGTCTTAGTGGGCCTAGGGACCTCCGGCGGCGCCGAAGGAACTAGAGGCTGATAGCTCGGCACCGTAGGGAATTCTTGTGGGGTCCTGAACGGGACCTCCGGTATACCACCTTGGCGGGACGACAAACTCATGGGTCCTGTCCTCTTTGAGATTGCGGTAAACGGAAAAAGAACCTGTGGAGATTTCCCCGTCGTCACCATTGATTTGGCTGAACAAAGCGGAACAGACATTTTCACGACGTGGAGAAAGGTGGACATAGTCGGTTCCAGCACGAGTTAACTGAACTCTGATTTTCAGGGTTGAAATCACAGAATAGAAAGAGAAAACTGAAAAAGAGAAATGACACGTCTATGTGTACGTAGCAGGAGTTTTATACGTGTATATCATGTGACTGTACTGACGTGTACTAAGTTGAATGCGTCCACCTGTTTTTTAGAATTAAATAATTAATAAAAACCTGAAATAAGAATAATTATTTTATATTATTTTTATAAAATTTTTATATGTTATTAAATTAATAAAAATATTTAATATTATAATTTTAATTGAATAAAAAGAATCAATCATTTTAATAATATTTAAAATTGTATAAAAATATGATAAAAAATTTATTTTTAAATCATTTTCTAATTAATAAATAAAAAATGATTGATGATAATTTTTTTTTATAATTTTATTAGTCATTTAGATGATTAATTTTATTTATTTATTTATATGTAAAAATTAAATAAAAAATTAGTTAAAATAACTATTTTATGAACTAAAAAACCATTTACAAGGGTTGACTGTTTTGTAGGTGTAATTATATTAAATTTCAAAGGGTTTTTCTAGCATGTTTTTAGGATATACAAGTTAATGATGTATTAAATATATGTTTTTGGTTATTACATTATATATGTAAAAGAAATTTTAATAATTAATTAATCAAATTAATATATGTGATATTAATATTAAAATTAATATTTAGTTTTTAAAATTTTATATAATTTAATGACTTTAAAATGTATTAATTTCATATTTATCATATAACTTAAAAAACACAAATTTTCAAAATAAAAACTATAAAAAAGAGAGGAGAATAATTTTTAATATTAAAGATTAATTTTTTATTTAATAATTTAAATCATATAACCTACTATAAATTTAGAGAACACATCACTTTTTTAAGTTATAATATAACAATTGTCTATATCCTCACGATGAATTAATAAAATCTTGATGGACAAAGCAATCCCACGTGATTTAGGAGTGATTACGCTACCTTGAACAATAGGTAAAATGCATTTAATTTTAAAGTTTGATCCCTAACATCAATAGGTGTTGATAATTAATTTTTTTTAAAATAATTTTGACATTATTTACATGTATATATAGAAAAGAGGGGAAATGAGTTCCATGAAATTTGAATACACCATCCACAAAAAGTAAATAGTTTTAACTCAAAATTCAATATTATTAGATCAGAACGAATTATTTAAATATTAACAATTAATTT